TGTGGTTCTGCCCATCAGGCGTCCTGTCATGGGTCAGCAAGGTGTCACTGGCTGCACGGGTCAAACGAGAGCAGGGCCCAGACCAAACCCAAGCAGCGTCATGTTGTGTCAGTAAGGTGGGTTAGAAAGGAAAGACCCAACATGGTTTAATGTTTGTCATTTTATTTCTTTACACACAAACTATGATTTCCTATTGATGGCATGTTACAATGATGGTGATTTAAAAACAAAAAATGTTTAATTCATCTCAACAAATCAAATATGAGAAAAGAGCGATATTAATTCTTGTTTTTCTAATTTAAAATAACCGCTTTTCACTCAAATATATTTTAAAATAGTGCCATATATGAGGCATGACTATATCAATCATTATTCCATTGTTTTAATCTCCTAATTATGTTAAATGTGGCATTTCTTATTTTTTTGTTTAATAATTATCCTGTTTCCAGAGAATCTTTAACTCCACCCATAAAAACCAGACGTGGAATTTCTCCAGCTCCCAACACATTTAGACGTTATTTTTGGCCTAAATCCGGTTGGTCCGTCATTGTCTTGATTTAGTCCACAAACAGTCGATGAAAATTGGACTGCGTTTGGTGGGTCTGATTGTGTCCCACTTTAATCCAATGACAGATGTTGAAAAGGGTTTTTAATGATCTGAAAATTGTGGATTTTCACATTTCACTTTTCAACCAAATGAAAGCGTCGTTTGGTCTTTTCAACCAGTTTTTGCTCGGGGGCTTTGCAGGGGGAACTATTATCCAGAGGGTTATATAAATTAAATGTCTGTTTGGTGTTGGGAGGACAGCAGTCTAAAAGCATTTTAAAGATCTTAATAAAGCGGGATCAGGATGAATTAGGTACCTTATCTGCGATATAGAGATTGGAGGACCTCTCTGAAACCAATACCAGGGAAATGGGGGCTCAACTTGCATCAGCTTTAAAAGCTGATCCACATGGGTTCAACTCCACTTTGGGGAAGAACTGGAGCTGGCCTGTTAGGCTGAGCAATAGATCTATTTGGACCGACTTGGTCGCCCCTTGTTCTTTGAAGAAACTGGCAAAAAATCATTACAAGCATCCAGCTGTAAATCTAAGGATGAAGAATGTTGAAGCAAAATCAGTGGGAAAATGGGAGGAATTAGTTTACCTTGAGAAAGACCCCTGTGTGTAGAAATAGGAAAGCAGCACCTGATGCAGGATAAATGTGAGACAACTGATGGATGACTATTGCAATAATGGTGTTCTGTAATTAATTATTACATTTTCCAATGTTGGGACAATAATGGGATTTTCTATTTTTCTTTTTTTTTTCTAATTTCAATTATTTACAGGACTGGTGGTCTTTACTTCATCGTTAAAAAGTGAGTACTAAATCCCAGGGTAGGGCTTTAATTCTCTGTATTCCTACACTTTTTCTTTAAACCAGCGTCACTGATTGCTCTTTATTCTTTTGCTTGTTTTCTGTCTCTGCAGGTATTCCCGGCTGTTAGTGGACCACCCGTTGGTGGTGCTGCTGGGTTGTGCTGCACTGCTGCTGGGATGCTCCTTGGCTGGACTGTTTTTTGGCTCTCTGCCAGACTTCTCTGATCCACTTTTAGTGAGTAAACAACATACATAGACTCGTAAGATGCATGATTAAAATCTCACCCAGGCATAGTTGTATGTTTTAGGTACTTTGAATCTGAAATAATAAAACAAAACATTTAGAGTCCTTGTTAAGGATTACTGGTCTGCTTTATGCCTCCTTATTTAGTCAGTTCAGTCTAATCAATAATTAATGCTGAATTAGATCAGAGCTAATTCAAATAAGTCTGCACCCTTCTAAGATACATGGTTAGACAGTAAACACTAATTGATATGGAAAGTAAAACATAAGCACATCACCACAGATGTTAAGTGAATCATTGTGCTCTGATCTGTTAGGGTTTCCAGCCACGGGGAACGTATCTTGGAGTTCGGCTGTCCAGCTTGTCCAAACTTCAGCAGGAAACAGGCCTGGGGAAAAGTCTGTCTGCTGTACCACAGTCACTCAGCAAAAGGTCAGCAGATGGTCAGAGTACAACGAGAAGTATCTAAACAGAGAGAATAAACCTCTTAAACAATGCAAAAAAGAGTCTACACTTAAGCTGGAAGGGAATAATTAGAAACAAGCATGGGCCCTCAGTATTTCTAATTGTTATAAGCAGGTAAGAGTTGTGTAGGAGATGCATTTTTTTTTTTGCAATTTTGCGCTTTTTTATTTAAAGTAGTGTAGTTTGTAATTTCTATTTTATATAAAAACTCAATCTGGGGACAGGAGTTAAAATTAGCATTAGCTATGAACTTATTATGCAGCACTTCAGTGACTATGCTTGTGTGCTTTGTCGCTGTTAAATGAAGATTAAATTAATTTAGAAACTTTGCAGTTCCAGTGAGACGTTTCTTTTCATCCATGAATGTAATCATTATTTTAGTCCTTTAGTAATGCATTTGAACAGTGTTTTTGCTCCTAGGAGGATTATAAACTAACATAAATGATCCAATATTAATGATTATTATATAAAAAAATACATGATTAAGTGTGAATTTATTGGGGATTTGGTCAATTACATATAGAACCCCCCACCAATGCAAGTTGCAGAGAAACTACGCTCATTTTAAAGTCATCAAGGCATTTCTGGCATCATTCTGGCTGAATGTTTCACCACTTTTCTTGGCAGAATTGACAGAGTTTCGTTAAATTGGTTGGTTTCCAGGCAGTAAACCAACTTTTATAGTCCATACATTCTCAACAGTACTGAGGTCAAGGCCATAAAAATCTTAAAATTAGCCAGACCTATTCCAAAACCAACATGGTTTTGGAATAGGTCCTAGTGTCATTCATCTGATTGGTTTGGGTGATCAGGAAAAACACAGGAGCCGTTAAAACTCAAGTCTGCTGGAAACTGAGACAACTTAAAAAAAAAAAAAATTTAACCTCTGCTCTAAAATAACCTCATCCAAGCTGTTCCGAAATGTGCAGAGAAAAGTTAGATGAAGAAATGAGGCATTCAGACCCAAGATCACCAGAGTGGGGCAGCTCAGACTGACCATCATCAAGAGAGATGACGCAGAGAGCGCTATAAAGTCAATGACAGCATTTCTAAACCAGACATTTATTTACCCCGGTGGATAAAGGCAAAGTCTGCTTAAGATTTGCTCATTATGTCTGGAAATACGTCACTAATAAGCAACTGTAATCTAATAAAGCAACTTGCATCGTCTGACCCTTCAATAATAATGTCTTTCTACTGGCTGCTTCTGCAGTATGTTGAAATTCATTTCTTTAGTGTTACACAAAAATCTTTAAACAAAAGCCTTTACTTTAACAACACAGAAATACTAGATGTACAGTCTACCATCTGAAACACTGATCCCTGTTTACTCTAATTTCAAATATGATTTTATTGTTTTTATATTGTTTGATAAGCATTCATTTCCATGTTAAATCTGTTTTACAACCAGTTTAGGAAAGTTAATCTACTTAAATATCAAATTCTAAAACATCTAGTTTGTTTTATTGTTCCTTGATTTCTTTTTGAATTGCTCAGATGAACATTATTATTATTCTTGATTGATTTGATCAATGATTATATCTGCATTGATAGATGTTGCCGTTTAAAGGCCTTTTCTCATACTTCCCCCATTGCACACACTAAGGGTGTATGTAAGGGTGCAAATATTAGAATATCTGTATTAGAATACAGATATTTTATTAAATAAAGTTATAGTGGAGGACGTACTTTTAACAAATGGATCATCAAAATAAGCAGTTCTCCTAACTGTCAATCATTCTGTTGATATGTTTATGTAAAGCCGTGCTCATCCCCTGGTAGCTATCTTCTCCGGCGGTGAGTCTGACATTGTGCAAAAATTGCAAATCTCCTTTGAATGCAAACAACAACTTGTGCATGCGCTCATGCACATGTACATGCGTTTAATAGGCGTTCCCTCTTGGGAGTGGGTACAGGGTTGTGCATGTGCTTTTTTTTTAAAGTGGAGAGGTTGGGTCTTAAAAAAAATTGCGAAACTCCCCTAATATACCTTCAATTATTTAAGAAGTGTTAAAACTTGCGTTTTTTAAAATTCAAACTAAAAGCTATATTTAAAGTTACAACAATAAGAAAGGCATTGAGGTTAATCTACAATGAAGTTAAATTAATAAAGAGTAAGGTTAAATTATGTAACTAGTTAATTGATAGTGCAGTTATCCATGTTACTATTTTCCTTCCCTTTGGAAGGAGTAGCTTGTAATTATGACTAGTTATTTCTAAAAATATTGTAAGAAAAACTGAGAAACACTAAAATGGCTAAAACATGAACTATTTATAAAACATATTCGCACATCCAAACTGGCTTGGATTGGAAAACACAGACTAATATTTAGCCCCTAGAATGCTTACAAGCTCAGGTCTGATGAAAATAGGTCCTAAAAATCTCCATCAATTAACCAACTTATTTAATGGAACTCTGCCTCTTTTTTCACATAAAATTTTCAAATATTCAGAAGCTTTATGTTTGTAATTATGTGTTTAATTTTGCCCAAAGTGATCTATTGCAGTTTATTATTGTGTAAATAATTCAGCCTTAAATAAATCTCATTGATTCTGGAGTCAAAGTAACCTTTCACTTCAGATATATTTGTAAGAACATATATCTGTTAAAAGTTTCTGACATTGTACTTTTGCCAGGTCGGGCTTTGTCAGCAGAGAGAACAATGACAGTCAGCTCGCTTCCAGAGGTCGTCTTAAAAGGATGCTGGCTGCAGACTTTTCTCTGGACACCTTCCTCTGTGACTCTCCAAGTGAGTAACCTCCCAAACCCTATATTAACCCCTTAAAGCCTGAGTTGATATACATGTAAATAAAGAAACGGCATTCTGTGCATGTTTTTCCTAATTAAAATGGTTAATGTTCCTAAATAAATAGAAATGAAGGTAAAGTATATTTTCTTACAGCAATTATAACTACATAATAACATACACTATGACTAGCACTTGGGTGATGCAAAACGATATGGTGGCTGTTTGCCTGCATTGCAAAAATGTTCTAAAAATTAGTTAAAATGTTTTAAAATAAGTGTGTTTACCTTTAATATGAGTAGGAAAATAAGATAATCTGCCAATGGAAAGAGCATTTTTACTGTTAAAATAAGATAATAAGATATTATGCACTTGAAATAAGAGACTGCAGTCGTTGTTTTTTCTTATTTTAAATGTAAATTGTCTTGTTCTAATGTCAAAGTGTCTCGCTTAAATGCTCAGTTTAAGAAAAAAATGCTGTTATTTCAACAAAAATTGATTTACTTAGATTTACATTTTTTGCAGTGTAATACAAGCAGTTTGTTGCTTATTAGCAACAACAGGCATCAAAGGGTTAAGTAAAGTTTCTGTAAGATGGAGAGAAAAATTCCTCCACACTGGATTAGAATATAAAAAAATATTAAAATCTTTAATTACATCATGAAAATGTTTAGTTTGATGGTGTTTAAAATGTGGTTTTCTGTGGAAAGGTATCTTTTTTCAATTAAATATTTAACATTGATGTTTTTGATGAAGAATTTAAAGCAATAAAACTAGATTTATTAGCCCGATTTCTGTTTGGCACATTTTCCCATGACTTTTTAGCCTCTGTGATCCTTTCTAACTGTCCATGCAGTCACATGATTCAATGCTGGCCATCTTGTTGTCGTACACTAACACCATCTGATTCTCTCTGTGCAGGCGAACGCTTCGCCCAGCTGGTGTTTCGATCCGAAAACTCAGCCAGTCTCTGGAGCCTGAAGGCCATCCACGCCATGTGTGAGATGGAACAATCCAGGGTTGGCTCACAATCACTCACTCTTCGCTTTCCTTTCTTTTCCTTTTTGCTGTTTTCAGGCGTCAGTTTCTATCAGTGTCTTGTCCGTTTGACACTCTGACTGTAATCTACATTTTAATCCTGCTCTATAGTAGATTGACTGTACATTATCTCATGGGAAATTAATTGGTTTTGTGTGAATTAGTTTCAGAGCTGGGCATGAGTTCAGAAACTTTTTTTTTTCCTTCTTGTGAATTAGATTCGCTCCCAGGCTCAGTTCCAGGACCTCTGCCAGCAGCCTGAGGGAGTGGAGGCAGAGGGAACACCGAGACGCGGCTGCTGTCCAAGCTGGTCTTTGGGGAATTACTTGGCGGTCCTCACCAATGCCTCCAGCTGCCTCAGCCTTACCTCACTACAGGCACTGTAGCTTTTATGTTATCAGCTTCAAGCAAATTGGATTTAGTCATTTTTCTAGATGCAGCAGTTGTTTAGACTTTAAATTGAATGGGTCTGCTATAGATTTCCTGGGGAATTTGTAGTTTAGCTTTTAGATTCCAGGTTTCTGCTAAATTGAGCCAGATTCCAGTTTCAGCAGGGCTTGACATATAAGGCTGTAGTTAACAATCCTTTCCATTTGCCAAGGATTTTTAAAGCCAAACTTGTTTTTAAAACTCAAAACAAAGTGTGCTAGCCAAACCCTTTTAGATTGTTGACTAAATCAAACTGAAACTCAGTTTTTTGTCTTGTTTTTCCTGCAAAATCTCAGATTTATTCTCTTCTCTTTACTTTTAAAAGGGCGCATATGGTTTTAAATTCTTTAAAAGTCCTATTTGAATTATGTATTTGAGGTTTATATAATGTGAAACCTTAATGATTTGTTCTAAATTCCTTAGTATTATAGCTCCATAGGTGACTATTTTACCTATATTTCAGAGAGCAGCTCGTTTTGATTCCATCTCTAAGTCAGAATAAGGCACTGCACTCCCTGTAGCTTCAGGGACCTTGAAGACTACTAATTGACTGTGAGGAATATAAATTGCTGATAGGGCTGGTAAGCTGGAAGCCCCTGACCTTGTAAAGTAGTAGTTCCATGGCAGATACTAAAAGGCCATAGAGAAAACTGAACGGATTGAAAACTTTAACACAAACAGCATAAATTTACTCTGCAGCAACTGAACCCAACATTTCTGCATCTCAAACCTTAAATAAAACAGTTTTGTTTTGCTCAATTTGTCTCCTTTAATCCAAACTGAGTGGTATACATTGCTGTAAAACATACACACACACACACACCCACACACATGTTACCTCTTTAACAGTTCTTTAGTTTTACTTCTTTGTCACAATCAAATGTTTCAGGTCATCAAACACATTTTTTAAAGCATCTAAAGAAAACCTGGTTTGTAAATGACCTGGTTTAGTTATATCCAAACTAGCCCAGTTCTATGGAAAAATGCACATCGGCACCATTTGATTCCTAAAAAAAAAAAAAACATTTTACCCAGGCGTAATTACTGGAGAATGGGGAAAGATCTTGAAAAGCAACACTTTGTACCCCAGTCTGAAGAAATTTAAGAACAGCTGGAAAATAAAGTGATTGATATCAGTCTAAAAATATTACAAGGTCATTTCTGGGATTTCAGCAAACCAGTGAAGGGCATTATCTACACATGTAAAAAAGATTATTTAACCTTCCCGATTAACCCAAGACAACAAGAGCTTGTACAGGAGATCCCAACAGAACATTGCTGGCTTCACAGCTAGTTTTCAGAGACTGCATAAAAATTACATCCATATCTCAACTTCACTGCTGTTCTGGGGACTCCTGTAGAACTTCTGAAGATAGTTTCACATAAGGCCGGGCGTACACTGTTTGATTTTTTCAGTCCTTGCACGCAGCTACAGCTCACACTGTATGACAAAACCGCAGCGTTTCGTCGTACAGTGTGAGTTCTAAGCTCAGGATGCATTCTCGCTCTGATGCGATCTGCCTGCTAACACTGCACGTCTAAAAACCACATCGGATTCAGCCCGGAGAGAGATGGCACTGCTGGGACCCATCTATCCGGAAACCAAATGAGTATAAGGGGAATATGAAGCTCACTAGAGTGAAACGCACTGCCTTGGCGATTTTGCAATTTTGTGCTGAAAGCCCCAAAAAGAAAATGCGGCGACGCATTTGGACAAAGACATGGCTGAGCAAATGTGGCTACTACGGTCTGTCAATTTAACAGAAAGAACTCCATTTCACTCGCACTCTCGCCAGGCTTCTGTGTTTACATATGAGAGGAAGAAGAAGACTCCTTGTTTGCGCATGCCCACTGAGCAATTTGCCCACGACGGTTTGATTTTCTCCCGACCTCACGATTCCTCATCTGGAGGTGGTCATGAGAGGCTGATCGGCCCTCGTTACCCCCTGCACACTACACAACGCACGATCAGGTTGAAAGTCGATCCGATCGGAAAATTCACGCATGACTGGAAAGTCGGCTCGATAAGGGCAAAAAATCGAGTGTAAGCTCGGCTTAAAAGAACTCCTTCCTGCAAGCAGGAGTCCGAATCTACTACAACTCGTTGAATAAACCACCATAAGATTAGGATTAGGATTAATAAAGTATTTAGTTGAAATTAAATTGAATTGGTTAAAAAGAATAAAAAAGGGCTGGTTTCACCTGCCTCCCAATATATACATATCATTTTAATGATCTGCAAGATTTCGAACTAAATATTCTTTGGAGTGAGGTGAAAAAGGAGGAACATTTTGGAAGGAGGATGTACGACATTTCAGAAAACAAACACCATGCTGTCAGTCAAACACTGGGATGGCATTGGTATGGTTTGGGGCTGCTTTACTGCTTTAGGACCTGGACAACTTGCTTCAATTGATTAAATCACCATTCCTCCTCTCTACAAGGATAATCTAAATGTCCAATCATCATCGTATCTCCTTAGGCTGAAAAACACCTGGATGATACAGCAGATACATGATCCAAAGCACGTCGCTTAACTCAAATGGCCTAAAAAGCTACATGAAATGCGAAGTTGTGGGAACACATTCAACAGGTCCTCTAATGGAGCTGATCGGACATTGTTCTAAAAAGAAGAGTGGGAAACATTTCTCCAGAGACTTAGCGAGGGTTATTGCAAATGAAAGAGTGGTGCCAAAAGACATCCTAGTTATCAGCTTGGGAGCGGAACTGGATAACTTTTCTGCCATAAATGACTGAATAAAAAAATTTGCATTTTTTTCTACTTTTTTTGAATACTTAAATTGGTTTAATGACATTAGCCATTTAAGTTGCAGAGAAAAACAAGATCAATAATCTGTAAGGGGGGACAAATATTCGCCTGTGCAGAACAAGAAAGGAGAACTACTAATTACACATTCATGCAAAAAGCAAACAGATTGTGAAGATATTTTCTGACACACCTGCAGATAAATGTGTTCTTTAAGTTCTTATTTCATTGTTAGTACAAAAACAGATATGATACAATCATTAAGGAAAGCATGCATCTCAACAAAACTCATATTTTCTGTTCTCTTTCTGCCTCACCAGGTTTCAGATTCTTTGAACCTTCTCCGCAAATGTGCTCCGTCCTACCACAGAGGAGTTCTGACCGAGGCCTGTTCAGAGAGACCCAAGCAAGGCGGCTGCTCCTCGGTTCCCTCCCGCTGTAAACAATCCCGTGTGGTGTTCCAAATCCTGCACTTCCTCGTTGACAAAGATTTCCTCGGCCCTCAGACTGTTGAATACCAAATACCGACGCTGAAATACAGCCTTCTGTTCTTACCTGTGCTGAAAGGAGAACACATGATGGAGATCTATATGAATAGTCTTGAAGGAAGGGATCTGACGTACAAAAACACAACCATCACTGGGATAGACTTTGGTATCAAGAAGACACTGTTCAGATATTACTTAGTGAAAGATTCTGTGTTCCCAGTGCTTGCTATCATATCCTTCTTGTTCACAATGGTTTTATATCTCCAGTCCTTTTTCATAGTAGCATTATCTGTTCTGGCAATCACAGGCTCTCTCCTTACCTCGTATTTCTTCTATAAAGTAGTTTTTCGTCTGACTTTCTTCCCAGTTGTCAACCTGGCGGCAGCTCTGATCCTCTTAGGAAGTTGCTCCAATCAAGTTTTTATCTTTACAGACTTTTGGAATCTGCAACAAACGCAAAACCCTTCAGCCTCTCTGGAGAAGAGAGTAAACAGAGCCTTACAGGAAATAGGCTATTTGATCCTAGCTTCAGGCCTGACCTCCAGTTCAGCATTTTTTTCCGGTTATCTAAGCAGCATCACAGCTATTAGATGTTTCTCTGTTTATCTTGGGACTGCTTCTTTCATCAGCTCTCTGCTGGCGTTAGTATGGCTGCCCTGTTCTTTCATCCTCCTTGAGCGCTCCAGGAAGGCCCCGGCTATGCCTGCGGCGGTGCAAACATGGAAGCCCTGCTGCTCCAACAATCCAGGCGGCTTCTGGGAAACAAGTTCCCGTAAGAAATGTATCTTCAGCATCGTGCAGAGGCTGAAGGAACTAAAACGAGGCATTGCAGACACATCAAACCTGCTGTTTCTGAAGATCTTGCCCTGCGGAGTTGTAAAGTTTCGCTACATCTGGGTGTGCTGGTTCGCAGTGCTTGCCACTGGCGGCACGTATATGTCCTGCGTTGACCCTGGCATGAGGTTACCCACACTCGACAGCTGGGTCACCCAGCTTTTCCGCTCCAGCCACCCTTTTGAGAGATACGATGCAGAATACCGTCACATGTTTATGTTTGAGAGGCATCAGAATGGAGAAGACAAACCTGTTACTGTCCTGCTGGTTTGGGGCATCAAACCGACAGATAATGGGGATCACTTTAACCCACAGAGCAATGGCTCCCTGGTTTTTGACCCTGACTTTAACATGAGCAGGCCTGAAGCTCAGATCTGGCTTAGAGATCTGTGTGTTAGAGTCCAGAATCAAAGCTTTTACTCTGCTCATTCACTAGAAAGCAAAGATGTCACGACAGATAATATCTGCCTGGTAGAGCAGCTGGTGCGCTGGGTATCTCTCAGACGATGCTCAGGAAGCAGCGATGCCCTTCATCTTTGCTGTAACATCCCCTTTCCATACCCTCCAAGCATTTTTGAAAGCTGTCTGAATATCATGCTGGCGGAGAAACATGCAGAGGGCCACCATCCAAGTGGTGGAGGACTGTACTTTCAGCCGGGCGGGCGGGTCGCTGCCCTTGTTTTGACTTTCCAGACCACCCACCTCTATAGCTTTAACTTTAGCAGAACCAGTGGTTTTTACAGGGAAATATTAATGTGGTTCAACAGAGAAATAGCAGGAACACCAAGAGGGCTGGAGAACGGCTGGTTCATCAGCCAGCTGTCTCTATTTGATCTACAACAGTCTCTAAGTTCAGAGACTCTGCTGGTTGCTGGCTTCTCAGTAGCTCTCACCTTTATTCTGCTGCTCCTAACCACCTGGAATATTCCACTGAGTTTATATGCAACTGTTGCTGTTGGAGGGAGTGTGTTCGTCACCGTTGGCCTCCTCGTCCTTCTGGAGTGGCAGCTTAGTGGCGTCGAGGCTCTACTCATATCCTCGGCTGCAGGGTTGTCTGTTGACTTTGTTGTTAACTTTTCTGTGTCCTACAGCTTAGCTCCTCATTCGGATAAGATAGGAAAAGTGGCACACTCCACTAAAAGGATGGGATGCCCTGTAGCAATAGTTTCCGGAGCGTTTTTCTCCATGGGTATTGTCATGTTACCTGCCACTGCCTTACATTTAAGAAAAATTGGGATTTTCTTGTTCCTGGTGAAATGTGTGGCATGTGGATTCGCAACCTTCTTTTTTCAGTCGCTGTGCTGCTTCTGTGGGCCACGGAGGAACTGTGGAAGGATCACCCTGCCATGCTTTTCAGAGGACACAGACGGCGTGCTGACCTCCTGCTCCGAGCCCGGTCCCTCGCCGGCCTCGGCTGCCAACGGTGCCTTTGCCAGATCTAGAGAGAGGAGGAGTTATGACAAAGAGGCAGGTGGTTACCTCTACCCTGACCACCAGCGTCAGCACAGACACAAACAGAGCGGAGGAGGAGCCGATTTGCACAAGGGCGCAGAGCAGTACGAGCTGCAGCCTCTGGCTTACCGCCTCAGTGACAGCTTTGAGAACAGCACCTGCACCAGTAAGCTGTCCAACCGGCCCTCTGTGCTCTCAGATGAAATTGAGTTTTGTGGCATAGAGGCGAGCAAGAAGGATATGGAAAAGGGCAGTGAGGAAATGCGCAGTCATCAGATCTACCAATCAGCTATCCAAACATCATCTCCTTACAGAGAAAACACTCTTCGCCAAGCAGGCCTGGTGCAGGATGATGCGGCTACTGGAAATCTACTGTGCAAAACCTGCAGGGGTCAATCAGTTGGGGGGAAGCAGTGGAGCAATACATCTTACTCTTCCTCGTCAAGCATTGAGGAAACCATCATTAGCCACACAATGGAGACCACTGACCAGCAGTCTTTGTGCAAATATGAAAATCCCACAAAGGAGGTTCGCTATCAGCACCTACAGTCTCAGAGCACTTATGAAGGACTGGACGACTCCTGCGAAACACATCTGAGTGACATTGAAGTGGGGTCTTCAACCCCCCAGCAGCCCGATGGAGAGGAGGAGGTTCAGCTGCAGCCGGGACACCTCAACGGCAAGAGAGACACACTGAGGCTTTCACTGAAGGAAACGGTTTATGAGACTAAAGACCGCAGCAGTCGGAGTGAAGAAGTGGTCATCCTGCCCAACAGCAGACCGGACCTACCAGATGTCTGGATAAAGCGAGACGGACAGCGGGATGATGCATGCTGAAAAAGTCGCTACCGTAGCTCCTTAAGCTACATCTCAGTCCAAGGTGCTTAATTTGAAGACATCTGGTCTTTTTCTCGTTTCCTAAAGGCATTTCATCTCCCATTTCCTGTTCTGATCATGTGGTAGAAATGTCCAACTTATAAGACGCTGTTGGCACCACTCATCCAAGGTTAGGATTCAATACTTCATCTATGTTTTAAGGACTATTTTAAAGAAGCAATTTGCTCCTTGCTAATTTTGGAGAGAAAAGCTGGTTGCTTTGAGACAGGAGAGGATGGAGAGGAGAGGGTGGCCTCAAATTCTCACAAATCTATTAACAATTACGTGTTTAGTGTCACTGACTTTAACTTTATAAACAGGAGCTCCTGGCTCATGATTCAAACTAATCACCTTCAGGAAACAGGAGAAAAAAATCTATCTATTAATACAGTTTAAATCTGTCGAGAAACTTTTTGCAAACACTGTGCATTTGTTGCTCTTAATTTGTAAAACTTATAACTGTTTTTATAAAACAAATAGAAAAAAACGTAAGCTGTTGGATTTATATTACATGAATAAGGAAATGGGCCAACTGTAAACATGAAGAAAGACATCATGTTTTATCTAATGTAGGTTTAAGGTCGTCTCTGAGCACTGGACCTCGTAGAAAATGCTCCAATCAAAGCCTGACTTTAAACCCAGCAGAGTTGAATAAAAAGGTACCAGTTTGCATCGGTGGAAATCAATGCTGTTGCATGTCATTATCACAAAAATCTCCAAATAACTGCAGCGGTTGCCTGCAGACTGTGTGCCTAAGGCTTTTGAACCTCAAAATCTAAAAAAGAAATGGATTTACAGACATTATGAGGAAACACCCACAGCCTATTTTATTGGTTTTCTTAGCGACATTGTTTGTTTCTCATTATGTTCATAAAAAACCATGAAGGTATTAAACAAAATTAAATTTAAAACCGAAAAGATCTTAAAGTTTCAAGGCATCTTATTTTTTTACATAATCAAATATGAATCTACTTGAATACTGAATTTTTGACTTTCTTGCATAATGAAAGCTCCTTACTCATTTTATTTGGTTTGTATAGATAACTTAGAGGGTGGATAAATGTCAAAGGGAATGTATAGTATCCTGAGCTGTACATTTAGAGTGTATTTACTGCTGAAAACTGTGCATCATTGCCAATTCTAGTATTAAAGTTTTTTTTTTTAAATCATCCCTGGGGCTTGGTTCCGTTGGATCCAAGCATGAGCCAAGTTTTCTCTGGCTGTATGGCGCATTAAGGAACAGCGTTACTCCTTTCTCCACTTGTTGCTGATCACTGTTGGTCAGCTGGCTGAATACTATATTTACCTTGCTTATAAGGAAGACAAATAGTGTCTAAGTGTAGTATTCTTACAAAGAAATAATATAGTGAAAAATCAGCATGTTTGTTAAGCAGCTGACTGTAACCTTGACCAGAGCAGACAGACTTATTGACAATAATGGTTTATTATTCTTCCAGTATTACTTCATAAAGAGCAATAATACTGATATACTATTCATAAAAAACTACATGATACTTTCCTTTGTCAAATAAGCTATTTATTTTATATCTTAATATAATTAAAAAACGAATCCTGATTTGTACGTTTTATAAGAAACTGCCATTTTTACTTAAAGTTATAATAAAAGACATTTGTTAGTACAGAGGTAAACAGTCCAATGCAAACAAAGCTGGAGTAATAGATAGAAGAGGTGCTTGATGATAGAAAGTTAATGTTGGTCATGGAGGTGGCTGATTCTTTGTTGCATATTTATGGTTTGTTTTATCTTCCATGTTGTATTTATTTTCCTAATGGTAGTTTACATGGAGGGATTTTACATTTTGAAACACTGAAGTGCTTTTGTTTCTTGTTTTGTTCAATGTAAATTAAGCCAATGCTGTCAGGTAGTAACCTGACTCCGCCAGATGGATTTGCTCCGCATATCCATCTGGAAACCTTCCGTTGAAGTAATTTTGGGAGGGGCGAAAATACTGGTTAGCTGATTGGCCTATGTTGGTGATAGATGGGCCAAAACTAGCTCGATAGCCACGCTAACGCTAGTTTTATCGGCTGAAGCCGCCATGTTCTTTAGACTGAACTGTCACGCTTCTCGTTGCGTCACACCTCAACCCGCCTCAAAGCCAACGCTGATTGGACGTTCGTTTGGTGAACGGCTCCAATTTTTCTTTAACGGAGAGTCTCCAGACTGATCTGCGAGTGAAACCTTGAAAGCTTGCGAGATCAGAATGGTCTCACGAGGCTAGTCAGGTAGCTGATCCTGAACCAGATGACCGAATGTGGGATTTCTGTTGGAGACAACAAGCTCAGCGGATCAAACCTCTGAGTTTCTAAGCAATAGTTCACTGGAAAACAACAGGGTATCTAAATATTAAATGAGTCAATGAGAAATTATTATATAAAAAAACAAGGATTTAATATTAGAAGAAAGTTTTATTTAGATTGATTATTGATGAACGATCGTCACTTTAACTGTGCAGTGTTTTCAGATGGGTACCAGTGTATCACTCTGTGTTCTCAGATGTTTATTGTTTGCCTATGATGTGTCAGTGTCAAAAAAAAAATAAACTCATCTTCTCAACTACTCTATATCCCCAACAATTATGAGATAAATCTGTTTCCACTTGAAATTTGACACGTATTATAACATTTTAAGGAATCCCAGTATGTCTGTGCCTATCTATAATGTTAAACATTAAAATATATACAGTTTAATACATAGCCTGTATTTATGTGTTTGATGTGATTAAGTATTTGCACTTCTTACAGTTTGCTTTTGTCCAACAATTAAGTTTCATCCAGCAGGTTTTATCATTAAAGATAATCTGAGTTAAAGTCAAATGCAGATTTTAAAAGCTGGCCTCCTTTAATAACTGGAACATCTGAAACCAGGCAGGCCCAATGTGAAAATGCAGCTGTGACCTAAACCCCCTCCAGTTTAAACCGTCAGAGATCCACCCAAAACGGGCCGGCCAATCATGTTGCAGTATGATGGTTTAAGGTGGGACATAGTATAGTCATTTTTAGCATGGTTGACCAAAACCAAACTGTGAATGTATGATCAGGTTGAATTGTCTCTGTAAACAGACATGTTGTGAATTGGCGCCAAATAAAGTGAATCAAATTGAGGGCGGGCACTGGGAGTGTTTTCACCTAATCAGCTCTTAAGGTTCTGCTAAACGTTCCTCCTTCCTCTGACAGATCTAATGGGGCCAGTCCCAGATTAACAATGCGTAGAAGAAAATCTTAGTTTATCATTCCATTTTACCAGATTAGGGTTTTCCAGCATGATATCACTGCATAGGATCATGGATAAACTGCATTGATTAAAAATCTTAAAATCCCTCATTCAGACGCAGACTTCCTGTGCTTTGGGTTTTCCTACTGCTAATCAGAGCAATGTGTCTTTAAAAAACCAGAAAGCTAATCCAAGGAAGCTAAAGTCTTCAATGCAGTCGATGTTCTAATTTCCTATGTGACCTCCTGGATAAGCTCTCTTGGAGTCAATCCAGTAGGCAAGCCGCTCCTGGGAGGGTTCATTATTATACGATGTTTTCACCAGTACCTTGGAATTGGCTTTTTAATCCTTCCTACATATATGAAAAGCCATGTTTCCCACCAGCCAGATTTGGCTTTTTTAGATTTTTTAAAATCCCATCTCATGTTGTCAGAACAGTCCTATATACGCAATTTTCTTTAAGTTTCTGAGTCTGTGAAATTCTGCAATGATAAGACACAAGTATGCATAACATTTAAAATACAACAAATCTGTAAAGGGGCAAATACTTTTTTTTTTTTAGATCAGCAATGTGCACAATTTGGGCCATTTCTGCATATAACATTACAATGCTCTTACATAGAATAAAAAATTAACAATCCACCTGTTTTCTATCTTATGCATGAAAGAGCCCAGGTTCTGCACATAACATTTGGAAGCTCAGAGCATTGTGAGCATCTATCGTTTGGGTATTTTCTACCTGATACATGCTTCAAATGTCTCTTAACTGGTTGTTTGTTGGATTCAAAGTGTGTGCTTTGTACAACGTAAAATAAGATGCATTTATGTTACTTTAAATGATGCAGACTGTAAAAAAACTAAGGTGATAAAGTTGATTTTAATGTGGTTCAGCATGTAACCTTTGAGGGCTTTCCATAACATGTGGGCAAATGTGTGACTAAAGATTTTTTTTAAAAGCTTTCATTCTGAATTAGTCAGAATAACCTGCCTTAAACAGAAGAAAGAACAATCAGGCTATTTACTGTCATGGAAAGGTACCCTCAGCAGCACCATCACATCCAGCTGTCTGTTGTCAACTTCTCACAAAAAGGAAATAAAATGGAGCAAACTGTTTCCTGGAGCAAACTGTTTATTTCTAATGTTTCCTACAGATGCATTTTAGTCTTTGATTGTGATATATACTGGAGGGAAAATGGAAGCAACAATTGGCCAGAGAACAGAATAAGATACACAGAGACGAAAAAGTAGCAAGAAAGGAAATAAAGGAATAAAGGGGAAAGAAAGCGTAATGAAGAGGATTTGGAAATAAGGGAGAAAAAAAGGAAAAGAAGGTGGGAAGGAAGGTATTGAGAGTAATCTGGAAAATCCTGAAACCAAATTGCATTTATTTTTTCATAAACCTGAAATAAAACATACATTTCTAGGCAAGAAATTTAAGATTTTAGTTTGCAGACAGACAGGGGCCTTTAAAGTTGATTTTTTAGTACAACAGTTCTCAAAGTAAATATACACCCCCCCAACCTGTAATTCATTTTAGCTCAACCTCTTCAAATAACTACAGTAAGTATTGTAATAAATTAAGAAAAATAAAACAGGAACCTTAAAGATAAAACTCAGGATTTGTGATCAGAAAAACAAATAATAAAAAGGGGACAGGAACAGGTCAGCTGAAACCGGTCTCCTGCCAGTCCTCTTTGCCCCAGTCTGGTAACTGTGTGGAATATTCAAAGTCTGGTCCTTTATAGCGTAATGCATGCAGATACATGACAAGCTCCTCCTTCGTGGGGTCCGGACGCACCAGCTTACATTCACTGCACAGGTGGTCTCTGGTTCCTAGAGTTTTCTGAGCAGAATCTGCTGCTTTGCTCTGGTTCCCGACTCTATATGCTGTTTCAAGGCTCTGAGATTCTTCTAAAGAGGCTTTGCTGGAGATTTCTTTCTCAGATAAATTCTCTGCTTGAGTCAAGTCTGTTTTCTCAACCTTCTCTGCTTCCCTTTGGACCCCAACACAGTCCCCCATTAGATCTAGCAGGTGTAAATCTTCTTGGGAGCGATGTTCTTCCACCAAAGCCTGCAGCAGCTCCTCGTCACTTTTCCCAACCAGCCCCCCCTTGCCCCTGTGAGGACCCCAGGCGTGGGAGCCATAGATGGGATCGTTGAGGATAGGAAAGCCCAGGTACTGCAGGTGGACCCTGATCTGGTGGGTGCGGCCAGTGAGCGGTAGACAGCGGACTACGCTGGTTTTTCCGTTAAAGCTGAGCCTCTGGAACACGGTTCTGCACTCCTTTCCCTTCGGATCGACCCGACAGAGGCCGATCTTAAAAGAGACGACCAGGATGGGTTCCTCACAGATCAGCTCGCCTTCAGGGAACTCCCCCTCCACTCGACACACGTACTCCTTCTCAAGCTAAAATAAGAATGAAAAATCTCAGTGAATGCCAAGAACAGCTCAGAGAAGCTTTATTAAAATTCCATCCTCAACATACCTGTCTGTCTCTCACCATCTGGTCTAGTTTCTTGGATTTCTCCAGCGTCCTGGCAAACAGCAGGACTCCAGAGGTGAGCCTGTCCAGCCTGTGGACGGTGTGGAGCTCAGAGACGCCGTGCTCTTTACCCAGGATGAAAATCACAGTGTTGTGGCGGAAACGACCGCAGGGATGTACGGGGATAGAGGCTGGCTTGTCCACTACAAGCACCTCCCCATCGTCCACCAGGATCTCCAGTGGCGCGCCGATAACAGGAGGCTCATGGCGGTGCACAGTGTTCCTCATGTGGTCGTTATTCTGCAGAGAATCAGAGTGAAAATAAACACTGGATCACTCACTATAACATTTAGAGACATTTCTTTTTCCTTCTTTCTTATCAACCGTACATATTTATCCATGCATTTATCTAACAAAACTATTTTCTATTTCTGAAGGGTTTATTAGACTTAGACCAAATTTATTGTCATTTTGTACACAAATTAAATTTCATTCAGTACAGCTCTCAAGAAATTTCTATTTATTAAGTGCAGCAGTGATCAAGTGTAAACATACGACTGGTATATGATTTAAAGTTTTTCCAACATTAGGCATTTTTTTTTTTCTTTCCCCATTTAATGCAACATTCAGCAGTCTAATGGCTGTGGGGAAGAAGCTGTTTAGGATTCTGCTAAAAATCCATCAGATGCTTCGAAGCCTTTTCCCAGAGGGCAGCAGGGAGAACAGTCCATGGTGGGGGTGTGAGGGGTCATTTATGATGTTACAGGCTCAGGACACGCTGCGCTTGGATGAAATGTGTTTTATGGAGGGAAGAGGAGCCCTGATTATCCTTTCTGCTGTTCTCTCTACTCCCCTCACCTTCTTCCAGTCTGAGGCGCTGCAGCCTCCACACCACACAGTGAGACAGCTGGTCAGAACGCTCTTCATGGTGCTTCTGTAGAAGGTGGTGAGGATGGGTGGGGGAAGGTGGGCTCTCCTCAACCTCCTCAGGAAGTAAATGCGCCTTTGTGTAGGGCTGGGCGATAATTCAATAACGATATATATCGATCGATAGACGTGTCGCGCAATAGAAAAAAAGAGGTTCGATAAAAGTTCGATAAAGAAACGCAGTTTTCCTTCCTTCTCATTGTAGCCTAGCATGTAGGTTTATGCTAGTCACTGCTTCCTCCCAACCAATCGCAATCGCGGACCCAGGCACGCCGTCACAAAGCGCCGCCCTCTCAGACCACAACACAGAGCACATGAAGATGTCGCAGCAAGGAGAGGCGGAGGAAACTGTTCCAAAGAAAGGTTTTTGTAGTTCGCCAGTTTGGCAGTATTTCGGTCATGGCAAGTCGGACAAAAAAACTACAGTCATCTGTAAAATGTGTAGGGAACCAGTGAAAACGAAGTCTGATAACACAACCAACTTTTTTTTATCATCTCAGCCGCTCACACCCGCAGGAGTACGAGCTGTGTAGGCCCCGGCGCGGCTCTCCTCCGAGGAATCTTCGGGAATTTCGGGGGGGGGGAAATAAAAAAATTCAGTTCTGGGCAGTTTCCCACGTAGTTCTAACAATTGAGAGAAAAATGCTGAGGGGCCAGCAACTTCAAATTAATAACTCAGGTTAAAGTAGGAAACTAAGCTGAACCATAACGAGGTGCCAGTAGCACCTCTATAAGAATAGGGGTGAGAAAAAATACCCCATAGAAATGCTAGGCTAAAGGGTGAGTTGATTTGGGTTTTTGTTCTTGTTGAGTGGAGTGGAGTTTACATGGTAGCCTAGTCCTACAATCTTTTAATTACCACAAGCTGGTGGTGTACTATTCCCACTCAAATAGGGTATTCTATTTATGCATTTGTTATATTTATTTTGGTCACTTTTCTGGTCGCTTTAGTTTATTCTTTGTCAGTATTTAATAACATAGGTCATGTCTCTTAAGTCATTTTTCTTTAAAACAATTTTGTTGTGGTTAAAAAAGTTGGTTAAATAAATATTTAATTGGAAGTCTGCGTTTGTGTTCTTTATTAAAATTAAATCATTTAGCAATATCATAAAAAGTCCAGGCAGAGCTGCACATAAAATATGGTTTCAAATCTTTTCAATGATTATCGATCAATATGCATTTTTTTTTTTATCGATAAGCTTTTTTTCTATATCGCCCAGCCCTACTTTTGTGCCCTTTTGACCAGTGAGGTGGTGTTTACATTCCAGGTGAGGGTGTCTGTGATGTGCACCCCCAGGACATTAGAGCTTACCAGATTATTTGGATTTAAATATGATAAAATAACCTGCTTAAAATGCAAACTATGGAACTTGGTTTGGAAACTGGGTTAAAAACATCTTAGAGTGAATGAGAATAACACCAGTAACACCATAACAGCATTAAAGGAGAAATAATACGAGCTGCACCATGGAAGTCATTTGTCCAGATAGAGGCAGAGCTGAAATCAGCCTTTCTTTCATGTCATCATCCAGATATTAAAGGTTATATAACATTGGTAAACTGAATTAAGTAATTAAACATATGGAGAAGTATTAAACACAGAGTGCTCAACAACAAATTATCATTTCTATGACAGGTTTAAATTTAATGTCCTAAAATTCGATCCAATTCATCACATTTATGGTTTACTGCATCCCCTGTGCTGGATGAGCTGTTTGTTGCATCATCACAAGTTTTGGCCGTGTTATTTCCATGTTAAATGCCTATCAGCTGAAAAACATATACTCTTATTAACTGAGACACACCTTTTGTGATCTCTGGTTTGTTATTTGGTTTAAAGCTGTTAAGGGCTGCTGTAGGGCGGAGTCATGGAGCCTGGCAGCCACTGAATATGGGGCAGGCATTTATCGTAAAGTTTATCGTTATTGTAATCAAATTCTCATCATAAGAATTTGATTTATTTTATAAATGATAAATAATGATAGAGGATTGACGGTGACTCCCTCCTGGAGAGAAATATCGGCTGTGCTGCTGCTACCAACACCTCTGTTTATAGATGTTGGAGATCGGACTGTTTTTTCCGTGTAGTCCTGTTTCTCTGACTGTGACCAACTGGATGTTTCTTCATCCTCTGACATTCTTTTGTATCTCTGCTTCTTTCTGTGTGTCTGCTTCTGTCTCCTTGAACCCCAGTCAGCCTCGGCAGATGGCCGCTCATACTGAGGCGACATTCACAATAGAGGCCTTGATGCTCAATTTGGATTCGGAGAAATCCGATTTCTTTGCGCTACGACATTTCCAAATATATGGGACTTCTATGTGATCTCCTGTGTGAACTGCAGTCATACAATGCAAGTGTCCCGCATGCCCAGTAGAGGACGCAATGACATCACAGGCCAGCGTGCTCCATGTTTACGGAAGTAAACATGGATGGCAGTGCCGGAGTGCATCTAGTGATCTTTCCCAACCATAAAAACAAATCTTTTAAAGAGTGTTAAACATAAATACTCCTCTCCGCATCATCCATCAGCCATGGTTGTTGTTTTTCTCTTTCGCTTCTTTATAGCAAGACCCAGAAAAGTGACCTTTGTCGGGTATTAATGGCGTTCAGGTCAGATGAATGCGACCTGGCTGTTCAGACACAGGTCGCATTTAAAAAGCTCAGATTCGTATAGGATTCAGGACCACGTAGCCAAGCGGCCTGGGTCATATTGGAAAAACTCATCTGTGTTTTTCAGACTGCCAAGAAAAGATCAGATACAGGTCGGATATGGGCCAAAAAAATCGGATCTGAATGTAGCCTGAGCCTGGTTCTTGAGGAGGTTTCTTCCTGTTAAAACTGAGTATTCCTCTCCACTGTCGCTACAAGCATGCTTAGTGTGAAGGATTGCCTGCAATCAACTGGTTTTCCTTAGATAGAAAACTTTGAATCAATGTGACTGTATGATCTGGTTAAATTGCAAAGTGCTTTGAGATAACATGTGCTGTGAATTGGCGCTATATAAATAAAATGAATTGAACGACTTTTGTTATCGCGATAGTACCACAAAATATCGTGATAAGATTTAAAGTCCATACCTCCCAGCCCTGCTAAATAAATGTCAGGGGGTTAGAGAGAGAAAAGACAAACATATTTATGGCTTCATCAGGCAGACATGTGACTAATATGATGGAGTAACATGGAGCTAAAGTGAGAAAGTGAAGCACTGACCCTGAGCACCACGGACAGGTCCTCCACCGGGGTCTCGTTGAGCCGAATGCGGCCCTCTTTAGCTGCCCTCTCATAGTACTCTATGGACTCCGCTCTGAACTCGCTCTTGAAAACCTCCAGGAGGCTCTTACCGATCCACCTGCCTTTGCAGTAGGTTTTGAAGTCAAAGTAATAAGGGAAAACTTTCCGCAGGCCACCTTCGAAGTAGTAGGACGTTTCTTCGAAATGCTCCTGGCTGAAGCTGATCCCCGGGTTACGTTTCTGGGGCGGTGGGATGTACCTCTCCCCGGGACGGAGCTTCTTCCCTCCGGCTCCTCTTCGCCTCTTCCCTCGGCCGCCTGTCTCCGGTGGGTCGGCCTCTTCATGTTTGCGTTTCCCGGTGTTTGCGTCCTCTGTCTCCGCGGTGTCCCCCACGGACGCTGCTTCAGGGACTGTTTCCGGTTGCTCCATCGTTTCTGTCCCCCGTTGAGACCACAGATGAATAAACTTTCCGCTCAAAGTTCTGATAATGTTACGATAAGGAATAAAGCAACAAGCAAAACCCGTGAAGTGACTTTTGGGCACCGGGAACAGAGACAACAACAGAGAACTTCTAGCTGATCCACGCACATGCATTGCTAGCGTGGACGCACAGTGATGACGTCGTTATATGCGCGAGTTGTAGTTCCGTCAGATTTATGAACGTTAAATGTTTGAAAACATAAATTGTTTAAACGGTTTATTTGCTATTAGTATATGTTTAATTTTCTTTTGGTGAATATAACTTTGATCAAATACAGCTCATATGTTTGAATTAATCATGCTAATTTGCAAATTCAATTCTTTATTTCTATAGCGCCAATTCACAACACATCATCTCAAGGCACTTTACAGTTCACCAGATCATACAGTCAAACTGATTCAAAGTTTTCTATCAAAGGAAAACCAGTTGATTGCATCAACTCATTGACTCAAAGGAATTCCCTCACATTAAGCATGCTTTTAGCGACAGTGGAGAGGAAAAACTCCGTTATAACAGGACATGGGCGTAGGTTTGCATAGGGACCATAGGGACATGTCCCTACCAAAATTTTGAACCGACCTAATTGTCCCTACCAATAATTGGATGTGAGCAACATGTTTATAATTTACAGCAGTAGTTGTTGCAGCAGTGGCTTCTTTTCCTCTCGCTGCTCCTCTGCCTGGTCTCTCCTGTCCCTTTCATGTAGCAGCGCATGCAACTGTGCTGCGCTGTTTAACTCCACTCTCATTGGTTGTTCTGCCTTAGGTTCCGCCTTCTCTCTCTCTGATTGGCTGTTTTCTAGTCCTGGCGTGCTTGGAGCACAAAATTGAAAATGTATTCACACTAGAATGCTGCGGTTACTATTAGGCTAAAAAAAATGGTCCCAATTTAAAAAAATGAATATCATGTACACTAAAAAACAAAACCCCTTTTTTTTTCTTTTATTTATCGAAATATTCTGAGTCAGCCAGGAGTTCTGAAGACACAAAATGGGCAAATAAAGGCTGTAAGCCATCAACATTTCTGATTCTTATCCACAGCCAACTAAAAAAGAAAATGTGAGGGTTTCCTTTTTACCAATATTTAGTTGCTATTACTGTTTTTATTTTTTTATGACTCTTTGAGAAAGTTCAGGTATAATTATTAGCAGGTGTTATTTCTCTTATAGAGTACAACAACAAGAAATGGAGCCTAAACATCTGCTGTTTTTCATTTAAAAAGCATAATTAGGGTTCCACATAACAATAGTTCTATTTTATTGACTATTTATACATCTAGAAATAGGATAAAGACAATAACAAACAAAGGAAGAATATAAACATTGATTTTATCTTACATAGATTTCCACACAGTCTATAAGTAAATTAGTACAAACATTAATGTCTGGTAAAAATGCTTGAATCTGGCTGTTTATTTTGGATAATGTTAAATTACAGATAAGATAGTGTTATATTGTCTTTTATAATTGTTAAAAATTATTTTATATTTGAATACGGTACAATTAGGCTCATTCTTAGTGTTGTGTTTGTAGATGATTCCACTAAAAAAGAAAATAGACATACAGTAAGGAGCTATTTAAACAGTCAGACAGTAAGCAATATAGGACAATGATAAAAGGTTGTGTTACATTTAATCCTTTACTATTAAAATTGCACTTATACATTATATGATTATAGGAAACACAGATATCCAGTAATAATGATGCAGGGCAGCTTGTAGGTGAAGCAGCTGGCCCTTCAGTGCTTCAGGTGATGTCTAAATAAACCAGGTGAAACGAAAATATTTCACCATGAGGAGTTCTGGATGGAGAATATTGACAGACAAATTTTTTTTTTAAATCTTATATATATATATATATATATAGATATATATATATATATATATATATATATATATATATATATATATAGGCCTATATTGTATTTTTACAATTTTGGTATAATTACTGATCTAAGTTGATTGCTCTATAGGGGAAAGGGACATTTATTTTACATTTATATTATGTTTTATAGTCTCCATTCTCCAGTTAATGATTAATCACATACTAAATTAGTTGATGATTATTGAAATAATCAATTAATACGATTCATTTTTTCAGCCCTAGATAAAATACATGAAATGGGCTATACAGAGTAACTACAGCCCAGATGTTCAACTTTTATAGTGAAGTTAATATTTCAATGAATGTATTATTTTGCTGGATACAGAGAGAGCATAGTAGGTAAAATATAAGAGTGGGGTTTAACTCTGCACAATTGTATTTCTTCAAAAGAAAATACTGTATTTACCTTCTCTATTAGTCATGCAAATGAAACCATTTACAAAGTGGAAAACAGTCCTAATTCCACATTCATCAGAGCCAGTGATAGGCCTACTTCAAACATTGATAAACGGCATCTAATGAGTGTAGTGCTTATAAAATTTTTATTAATGTAGCAAAATGATGCTTTTCTCTTTTAACAATGAATTCGTCTTATCAGTATGGATGCCCACATCGAGCATAAAAAAGGGCACGCATATTACAGCACCAATGGCACCCGACCAATAGTGTCCCTACCAAAGTTCAAATCAAACCTACGCCCTTGTAACAGGAAGAAACCTCCAAATACTGCCACATTATGTCTTTGTGTCAGTATTAAACTTTTAACAAGATCCCAGCAACCAAACAGGAAACAAAGCAAAAACATGCAATACTAAATAAAATGTAAATTAAACAAGGTCTCTTTTGTGTATAATAAAAACAATAAATCAGCATTATAAGAGCATCTCAAAACTATTGGTATTGACATTTAAGTGCTCGGAATTTTAAAAGAAGCACAAAAAGTTTTTTCAATTCAGTTTATTTATATGGTGCCGATTCTCAACACATGGATCATCCAGTCAAATTGATTCAAAGTTTTCTATCTAAGGAAAACCAGTTGATTGCATTGACTCAAAGGCTTTCCCTCACACTAAGCATACTGGTAGTGACAGTGGAGAGGAAAAACTCTCTTTTAACAGGAAGAAACCTCCATCTGCCGAGGCCGACTGGGGTTCAAGGAGACAGAAGCAGACTTAGATAAAGCAGCTATAAAAGGCGGCCCCGTCCAGGAAACACACAGCCAGGCAGACGAGCTCCGAGCCAGCTCCAAAGGAAAATAAAAGATGTCTTTTTTGTGTTTTTACTACAGTAGGCCTACTAGTTTAATAAAAAAAAAATCTAATGTTATTAAAAACAGAAACAGTTATAACAAAGAATATTAGAAATAATCAATATTGTTATTATCATGTAATATTTTCAATGAAGTGAGACGTCAATTAAAAATAGCTTTTTTTTATTCAGTTTTATTAAGAAATATGATTTATACACTATACATTTATCCAAAATTTCTATTGTTTAAAATCACCCGTTTATGGCACATAATTCTCTTCACAAGCCATTTCTGACGGTCATTCCAAAAAGTAGGCCCACACCTTCTTTCTGCAAAATAGATCATATTAACATGCAAAGAGTTTCTAATTACAGTATTATGTATAATGCTCTGAGTTTGTCACTTTTCTAGAATTTACAGTTTACTGTTTAACAAGCATCACAATAAATACACCCCATTCTTTCACATCAGTGTGACTGATTAGCTCAGTTTAAAAACTTTACAAGGAGGTTAACCAGTAAAATGGTGATCTCTTATTCTATCACTTATTAATTTAAACAATCTGTCCAGGTGAAGAGAGCATGATCCTCCTTCTTCGTTGCTAGGTGCTAACCCAGTGGAGAAAACGATAGCAAATACAGGAACTGAGATAGACTGTGAGGAGAACTACTGGAGCCCAGGGATGCAGCAGCAACGCCACCTCCTGCAGGAGCAACCAAACTGCAATCAGAGTTCATCTCTAGGGGAAGAAGAAAGGGTTACACATGGTGGTGAATCGCTCACTGTTGGTTTCAGAATTTGAAGCAGAGGCTTTTTTCTTACCCTGGCCACTGGTGTCTTTTGTCAGTCAAGGGGACGTAAATGACTCCCATCAACGCCTTCTTCAGGAAGGTGCCATCACTTTGTCGATCGTATTGCTCCAGCACCTGACTACCACCTTCAGGGCCCACAGGGAGAACAAGTCGGCCGCCTGGCTTCAGCTGCTCCAACAGCTTTTGTAAAAGGAAAAAATGGCGTTAAAACAAAAAACACCCCAAATTTCATCTTTCAAACACATTTTATTTCCATCTTTAATCACCAAGAACATCCCTAAATAAAAAAAACCCTCTCAGATAAGCCAAACAATAACACTTCTCACCGCATGTGTCAAACGTATCCATATATTAATGACTATATGTTTGTGCTTTTACAAATTAAAGCTTTTAAAGTAAACCATCATAAGTTAACTTTTGATTCATTAAACTCTAAAATGTTAGCAAATGTCTTTAGTGGAAACAGTCATTTCACAAGGCTTTGATTTTATTAGAGCATTGTGAAAAAAAACACACATTTTTATCTTCTTTATCTTTATCTTTTATCTTTTACTTTTATCTACAGTAATAGTATTATTATTCCCTTCTCTATATTTAAACAACATTCACCTGATTCCTGAGCATTTCACTCATTGACCATTTTTTAATTTCTCTGATTTAATCCAAATAAAGAAACAATAAAAATCTTTAATAAACAGCTGTTGTGCTAAATGTTCAATTTTAGTGGCTTAAATCATGAATAAATAGCTCTTAAAATAATTAAAAATCTCTGTAAATCAGCATATTGTCTAATTAATTTCTATGAGGGAATTAATGGTCTTTTTTTTAATGGAGCTTGAATAATGCACCTTCCAGAACTGTTTTAGGCATATTATCAGAATAATAAAAATAATTTCTATGATTAAAAAAAAAAAAAAAAAAAAAAAAAACATCTGAAACTAATACCTGCTATTTACGTTTCTAGAAAGTAGTATCGAAATTCCTTTAAATGTTATTTCTCTTTTTATTTGCATCTTTAGCCAATGCAATACATTTTTGGAATCCTTACTAAACTAAGTGAGGAGTCGTTAATCAAATAAAATATCAAATAGTTTTTCTTTACTGTATGGAAATACCTTGTTTTAAATGTATATTCATGTAACATAAAATTAACAAGGAATGTAAAAAATACATTACGGCTGAGTCAGGGAATCATTTATTATAAAATAGTTAAATATGATCCAACTTACACTCTTGGGAACAGTAGCTGCAGCTGCACCAACATGAATGGCGTCATACGGTGCTCCATCTGGATACCCATGTCTTCCATCCCCAACTGTGAACAGATGGGATTATGACACTTGCAGCAAAGCAGTTTCATTAGGAAATTTAATAGAAATGGCAAAGTATTAAAGTTTCCCGACCCACCTACAAATCTTACTCGTCCAGAAGAAAGCAATTCTGGGTCGTCACTTTGCACATTTTTTATCGACTTCTGAACAAGTTCATCAATGTGTTCGATGCCAACCACCCTACCGCTAGGTCCAGTCTACCCTCCACAGAAGAAAAATATCTGTTACTTTCAGTTATTCTGTAAACTTCCTGCATCTAAGCAGTTTATATGTCAAACATACCATTCTTGCAAAACAGGCGGTAAGATAGCCGCTTCCTGAGCCGACATCCAATGCAGACGCCCCTTCAATTAGTTTATCGCTAAGCAGCTCCAGAGCATGTGCATGCTGGCAACAGAAACACCCGTTTCATTTTACGTTTGCATGTCCAGAAATGACAAACTTCCTAACTCTGTGTGTATCTCAGGTGCTACCAGTCCAGCTCAGTCAGTCTTACCATGTGTGGAGCACTGATGGTCGCCTTGTAGCCTGCAAGAAGTAAACACATCATCAAGTGTTGCATAATGTTCAAGCGTTTGGTGCAAATGTCTTCACTAATAAGTCTTCACTTCATCTTCATAAAGCACAGCTAGAACTTCAGAAATAAATCTGTTTTATTTCTAACAAAAGGCAACAATTAAAAAGGAAAAATAAAAGTGTAAAAAAGTTAAAAAATTCCATATGCATGATTCAGGCGGTTTTGGTAAAACGCTATGTCTCCGTTTACATTGCAGGCAAATAAGCCATATATCTATTTTTTTTCCCACACTGAAAGTAAAATTCAAACTGATTATTATGAAATAGGAATATACAGTGGTCTGCAAAACTTTGGGCAACCTTGTTAATTTCCATGATTTTCCTTCATAAATCGTTGGTTCTTAGGATAAAAAAAATCAGTTAAATATATCATATAGGAGACAAACACAGTGATATTTGAGAGGTGAAACGAAGTTTATACCATTTACAGGAAGTGTGCAATAATTGTTTAAACAAAATTAGGCGTGTGCATAAATTTGGGCACTGTTGTCATTTTACTGATTTAAAAATCTCTAGAACCAATTATTGGAAATCAAAATTGGTTTGGGAAGCTCAGTAACCCTTGACCTACATACACAGGTGAACCCATATATGAGAGAGTATTTAAGGGGGGGGGCAATTGTAAGTTTCCCTCCTCTGTGAATCTTCTCTGAAGAGTAGCGACATGGGAGTCTGAAAACAACTGTCACATGACCTGAAAACAAAGAGTGTTCACCATCACGAATTAGGGGAAGGATACCGAAAGCTGATATCAGTTGTCTGTTTCGACAGTTAGGAACATAGTCAGGAAATGGAAGACCACAGGCACAGTTCAAGTTATGGCTCGAAGTGGCAGACCAAGGAAAATCACGGATAAACAGAAGCGAAGAATGGTTAGAACAGTCAAAGTCAACCCACAGGCCAGCACCAAAGACATACAACATGATCTTGCTGCAGATGGAGTCATTGTGCATCGTACAACTATTGCGCGCACTTTACACAAGGAGATGCTGCACGCAAGAGTGATGCGGAGGAAGCCTTTTCTCCGTCCACATCACAAACAGGGTATGCTAAAGCACATTTGGACAAGCCGGCTTCCTTTTGGAATAAGGTGCTGTGGACTGATGAAACTAAAATTGAGTTATTTGGACATAACAAGGGGCGTCATGCATGGAGGAAAAAAATCAAGGAGTCCTAGAAAAACACCTGCTGCCTACAGTAAAATTTGGTGGTGGTTCCATCCTGCTGTGGGCCTGTGTGGCCAGTGCAGGGACTGGGAATCTTGTTAAAGTTGAGGGGCGCATGGATTCCACCAAATATCAACAGATTCTGGAGACCAATATCCAGGAATCAGTGACAAGGCTGAAGCTGCGCCGGGGCTGGATCTTTCAACAGGACAATGACCCTAAACACTGCTCAAAATCTACTAAGGCATTCATGCAGAGGAACAAGTACAACTTTCTGGAATGGCCATCTCAGTCCCCAGACCTGAATATTATTGAAAATCTGTGGTGGGACCTACAGTAAAGAGAGCTGTCCATGCTCGGAAACCATCAAACCTGAATGAATTAGAGGTGTTTTGTAAACAGGAATGGTCCAAAATACCTCCAACCAGAATCCAGACTCTCATAGGAAGCGTTTAGAAGCTTATTTCTGCAAAAGGGGGATCTACTAAATATTGAGTTTTTTTTTTTTTTATTGGGGTGCCCAAATCTATGCACATGCCTAATTTTGTTTAAACAATTATTGCACACTTCCTGTAAATGGTATAAACTTCGTTTCACTTCTCAAATATCACTGTGTTTGTCTCATATATGATATATTTAACTGATTTTTTTTATCCTAAGAACCAACGATTTATGAAGGAAAATCATGGAAATTAACAAGGTTGCCCAAACTTTTGCAGACCACTGTAGTGACTTGGGGTGCAGGGTTCATTAACACAAAATAATGATGCCAAGTTTCCCTTGTCTTAATGATATGTTTAGTTTCTGGAAAGCAGCTGAGTGTTTTGTATCGTTTGTGCAACAGAGGAAAATATGTAAGTCCTGCTATAATTATTGTCCATTTAAAAACCAAATTTTTTTCTTTAAAAAACTGCTCAGTAATTTAAAATTCAATGTACTTACAGGTGGAGTGGGATAATATGTACATTTTATTTTAGTAAGGCATACGTTTGGGCATTAAACAGATAGATTGCCATTCATAAGGGCACCGGTAGGTTGACTAGATGTCTCAATTTTTGCAGGATGGTGCTGCACTTTTCATTCCCGTCCCACATTTGTCTTGGCCGAGTTGCAAAAGAACCAATGCAAAGAAAGCAGAGCTGCAGTAATTGTCCCAGAGCTCCACCAGAAGCCTGCATCAGGACCAACCTACGCATTATGCTCTTAAAACTAAACAGTGAAGTATTTTAATACAAAATATAAGAAAAACTACTTTCAAATGTATGAAACTATGGAGGGGTTTATAACTGAGGCAGTTAAAGGTGAATCTCAGAGAACTTTTTGTGAAGTCTCTCAAAGGTTTTTTTTCAGTTCCATGAAGGGAACGCTAAGTAAAGCAACATCGTAAAAGTGAGTCGGCAAAAGAAGCATAGAGCGGATAAAGCTGCGTCTGTCCAGCTTAGTTTCTCATAAGCATCCTAGTTGTCCCATATTTTTTTTTTCTTTTTTTAAGTCTGGCCCCACTACGCCGTAGGTGTGTGTTTTCTTATTTGCACAGACATTAGGTTAGAACGAATGCTTATTCATTTCAGGCCATTCCAGTTATATTGGCTCACAGCTAATCAAAACATAAAATCCAGTTTCTTGAAAAAAAGTAGGGGTGTGCTTTGGTGGCGCAGTGGTTAGTGCGCATGACCCATGGACTAAGGCCTTAGTCCCCGATGCGGCTGACCCGGGTTCGAATCGACCCCCTCTCTCACACTCCCCTTTCCTGTCAGCCTAAAATCTACCTGAAAAAACAGGAAAAAACAAGCCACTAGTGCTGTAAAAAACTCAAAAAGTAGTTCATAAAAATCAATCCCTGATGCAGGTGTCGCCACAGAAAGTCCTTAAAAATTGAAGATGGACTTGGCAGGGACCCTATCCTGAATAGGCCCAGGCTTCGAACCCAGGTCCCCTGTATGATAGACGTGGACCTGCTCCCCATCCCTTTGGTAGAGCAAACAGCTAATGACTGTCCATGTGCAGGACTCTGTTAATGCTTAGTATTTTTTTATTTTTTATGTTAACATTTTTATTGAGAAAGCGCATTACAATACAATTATATACATATACTGGTTATGTTCATATTTTTACATGCTTTCTCTGTTTTCTAATTTTAACAAGAGAAAAAAATAAAAATAAAAAAAACTTAACTGGGAGTGGCAGGGCAGCCTGAATATCAACTAATAATTGACAGCACAAATCAAATTAGACCATAAATCTGAATGACAGCAAGGTTTATAAAGAAAACTCAGGTATAACAGGTTTGACATATTCTGTCCACTTTGACCATATCTTGTAGAAAGTGTCTCTCTGCACATTGATGGAAAAAGACTCTCCAGTGCATACATCTCTTTCACTACACTTATCCAGTCATAGATTGTTGGAGGTTCCCGTTTAAGCCATTTTCTTGTGAGGGCCTTTTTGTTCCCGGCCAGTAAAATGAACAGAAGTTTCTGATCATTGTGGTTCAGTTTGTCTACCGGGATGTTACATAAAAATATGCATTCAAAAGTTAAAGGAAATTTAGCTGAGAATACGTTCTGTAAATTATCATGGATTTTAGACCAATATTGCTGAATGGCTTGGCAGTCCCAAACATGGAAATGATTGGCACCATCCCTTCCACACCTCCAGCAGGTATCACCCCTCCCCTGATATCGTTTCTGCTTTGGGGTTATGAAAAATCTTATAATATTCTTCCAGCAGAATTCACGCCAAACCTTCGATCTTGTTATTGTCCATGGTATCTTACAGATGTGGTCCCAATCTTCTTCTGAAATTGACAGGCTGGCTTCTTTTTCCCATTTCACTTTAACATAAACAGTGCTGTCCTTTTTACACCGCAGGATGGCGTCGTATAACCTGGAGATAATTTTACCTGATTTTGATTTGGTTAGTAATATAAACGTTTCCACAAAACTAAGATTATGTAAATGTCTAGAGTCTAGACCAAAAGTGGATTATATATCATTATTATCTTTTTTCTCTTTTGGTGTGGTTCATTTTCACATTATATTTTTGTAAGTAAACAGTAAACAAAAGCATGTGTGTCACACTCATGTCCTGCCTCACAAGCATTTTAAGCAAATGCATTTAGATACATTCTTCTCTCTAGGGTGTGCTTGTTTCTCTTCTCTGTATTCACTAAACGTATGTATTTTTGCATAACTAAATGCTCCGCCCATCTTTGTCTAAACCCATTTGTTATTAGCTATATAAGCTATAGGCTTAGATTTATGGAGGACATAGGGACCCCTGTTTCATTATTCTGCTTCATTCTATCTCTATTCTCCCAATCTGCGGAATCTGTTAGTTCGATCTCCAACCTTCTGCTACCTCTGCTTTTTCTCATAGTAGCTTTGCCTCGTCTGTTCCGGTTTGGCTGTGACTCAGTGCTGGGGAGAAATATCAGCTGTGCTGCTTCCATCAACACCTTTGTTTATAGATGTTGGAGATCTGGCTGTTTTCCAGTGTGGTCCTGTTTCTCTGACTGTGACTGGCTGGATGTGCTCTCTTCATCCTCTGACATGGAAGTTGACTCAGAGCTCATCTGGCTGTGTGTTTCCTGGACGGGGCCGCCTTTTACAGCTGCTTTTTGTATCTCTGCTTCTGTCTCCTTGAACCCCAGTCGGTCTCGGCAGATGGCCGCTCACACTGAGCCTGGTTCTGCTGGAGGTTTCTTCCTGTTCAAAGGGAGTTTTTCCTCTCCACTGTCGCTACAAGCATGCTTAGTGTGAGGGATTGTATTTGAGTCAATGAGTCAATGCAATCAACTGGTTTTGCTTAGCTAGAAAACTTTGAATCAATTTGACTGTATCATCTGGTGAACTGTAAAGTGCCTTCAGATGACATGTGTTGTGAATTGGCGCTATAGAAATAAACTGAACTGAATTATTGCCGGGTTATTGGGGGGCTAGCAGCTATCTTTAGTGGTCAATAGGAAGGGTACACCTGGAAAGACTCCCAAACCATCACAAGACAAATAACAAAATAATGCTCATAACTCTGGATAAATTAGAGACAGCAATTAATCCAGTAGTTTTTTTTTTCTAATTGAACTTGTGTAACAGTTAAAATTTATGAGAATCTAAATTTGAGGTTTTAAATAATCTTTAAGACATAATTATCAAACTTGACAAACTCATGTGACACATTTTCTGTTGAAACTGTCCTCTTAAAGAGTATTGCTCACGTCATTCACCCACAGATTTGCAACATGGGCAGGTTTAGATGGGGGCCAACAGGTGCCAGTGCCCCTGTAGAACTGCTCCCAGCCCCATCTATCTCCCATGTATTGAAAACATAAACTAAAAAATGTAAATATAATTAAGTGCATTTTTTTTTTTTATAATTTTAGTTTCCCTTGATTTTAACATGCAAGTTAGAGAATTTGCCAATAGAGATTATATATGTTTAAAATAAGAAAAAACAAACAAAACAACTCCATTAAAAAAGTATTTATCTTATTTTTAAGAGCAAGATTACTCATTCCTTTTTCATATCATCATTAAATGCTCAAATTAAGGACAATTTGACCATATTTACTATTTTGCTTTTACAGTTAACTTCAACAGTAATTAGAAAATGCAGTTAGCTTGAAGTTTTAGTCGTACAAAGATAGGATCAAATATTTCATTTGTTAGTCTGCAACCTTGACTCCGTAGCTCAATAAATCTACTAAATGAGGAACTCTTCCCAGGTTTGTTTAGTTATTCCTTTGTTCTGGACCACCATGAAAAAACACTGGCACCCCCCTGGTCCCCCTTGCAAATATACCCTAGAACCACCACTGATTTGCACGATTCATGCACACATATCACATTCAGATTAACCTGAAAACTTTCTCAATGACCCCTCACGATGAGCCACATACATTCCAAGGTGAACAAAGACTTAAAATGACTGAATATGTTATGAGTTTTAGATTTAACTTGGTCATAAAAATAAATTTTATATTAATTTATAATTTACTGAGATGGACCTGTGTATTTAACAAAGTTAAAGCAAAGCGATTACCTATTGTCTGTGGAGAGTCTGCATAAGGGTAGTCCTTGGAGTAAAGTCCTCTGTCAGTGGCCAGCATTGCATCGAATACTCTGTCGATCTTGATTACCCTGTGATCTGAAGGTGAGACAATAGGAAAGCAAACAGGAAAATAGGAAAGGTTGAAACAGCAGCATGTATAACAATAGTAGTGTTTTCCTGTAAAGAGGAAACAAAGCACCCTTGAGGAACTCCGAGGATGCAGGTTCAATCCCTGCTCAGGCTTGCAACAATTTGCTTACTTTGTACCAATTATATCCTAATTTCTTCATCAATTACATCTGTTGAGTAATAAATTATTGTAATAAAGTGCACGAAGAGAATTTACAGGACCTCAGATTATTAATTTGACTGTTAATTATGATAGAATTTTCTTCATGTGCTAAAATGGGAGGTATTCATGAGGGCTACTTAAGTAAAGATGTAATTCATTGACACCTTACAAAACAGGACATAGCTTTGAAACAAGAAATTAATTTGAATTCAACTAACTTTTATTATTTTTAACGTACCAATAATGTACATAGCTTAAAAAAATGTACCTATTTCTGCATACATAGTAGGACCTGAGGTTAAAGGATATAGCATCAGTATTTGCTCTAAATTATATAACCAAAATGTTATAATAATGTTATAATAATTAAAATAATTCTATAATAATTAAAAATACATCTAAATTATTTTTGTTTATTTTTGTTTCTGATAGGATTACTGTATTTGTGTGTCTGGTTATTAAAATATTTTGAGACTTTTCTAGAAATCAACACAATATTTAGCTTTTACCTCAAGAAATTCTTCTTGTACACAGATACATTTTTAACGGCAGATGTTTGTGGAGTGTAAATTCTTTTCACCAAGCAATTTTGTTATTATCGTTTTAAAAAAGAAAAATAAATGATAAAACACACAGAAATCTATAGAACTAGTAAATATATTTCTCAATGAAGAAATGTAAAAATGGACTGGTCACAACTCCAGTAATAGGCAGGCTGTAACCAGAGTAGAAAAAGAAGTGGGAGGCCGCGTTGCACAACTGAGCAAGAAGATAAGGACATTAGAGTCTCTAGTTTGAGAAACAGACGCCTCACAGGTCCCCAACTGGCATCTTCATTAAATAGTACCCACAGTAGCCTGTTTGTGCTGTCCTCTGAAGGGAGTAGTACACACTGTTGTAGGAAATCTTCAGTTCCTTAGCAATCTCTTGCATGGAATAGCCTTCATTTCTAAGAACAAGAATAGACTGTCGAGTTTCAGATGAAAGTTCTCTTTTTCTGGCCATTTTGAGCGTTTAATTGACCCCACAAATGTGATGCTCCAGAAACTCAATCTGCTCAAAGGAAGTTCAGTTTTGTAGCTTCTGTAACGAGCTAAACTGTTTTCAGATGTGTGAACATGATTGCACAAGGGTTTTCTAATCATCAATTAGCCTTCTGAGCCAATGAGCAAACAAATTGTACCATTTGAACACTGGAGTGATAGGTGCTGGAAATGGGCCTATATACACCTATGTAGATATTGCACCAAAAACCAGACATTTGCAGCTAGAATTGTCATTTACCACAATAGCAATGTATAGTATTTCTTTAAAGTTAAGCCTAGTTTAAAGTTATCTTCATTGAAAAGTACAGTGCTTTTCCTTAAAAAATGAGGACATTTCAATGTGGCCCCAAACTTTTGAACGATAGTGTGTGTGATATATATATATATATATATATATATATATATATATACCGTATATCAGAGAGAAAGAGAAACGACGCACAGACTTCTCATCGTTTTGCCTTCGTTCCTTCTCTAACCCCATCGATCCTTTACCTCTGAGTCTACTGATGAGGTCTTGGTGCGTTTTTCCGCTTGACATCCACGCCATGGTGCGGGACAGCAGGACACCCATCGGGACCGCCACTGCTGCCAAACGCAGGACAGCTTTCATCTCCCAGATCTCCTGCACGAATACATTTGGAAACTGCTGCAGTCACACAGCTTTACTCACTGAAAGCACCAATAAAGAAGGTGCAGAAACAGTGTGTTTGCGGTATTCTCAGTCAGCCTAAACCAAAGAACATTAATACAACCTTAATGCAACTGACTGCTAGCGAGCGATTAAATTAGAGCTAAACTTTACAGCAAAATGCAAAATTGTGGAATGACAGTAGTATTAAGGAAATAATATGTTCCGTTAAGTTTAAGGTGTATTGTAAGTAAATTAGGTATGAACAATTGTTTACCTTGGAAGTTGGTCACCGTCACTTTAAAGTGAGACGCACTTCCTGACAGTGATCTGACGTGATGAAGCCTTTATCCAATAGGAGCTGCAGTTAGAAGCACACAGGCGTCCGCCTTACTGGCTGTATTACCCAATAGAAAAGCGATATATTGCATCGTCTACCATGTTGTGAGTGGCAACCTTCACGCTCAGAGGTCCGCTTGGAACTTTGGTTTTCTGTTGTAATAATAATAATATAATCATATTTTTTTTTGGAGTAAAGATAACTAAAATAAATTATGCAACTAACAGAAAAATGCATGGTGTAAAAATCAGCCTATATTTACCTAAATAATCAAATCAGCGTTGTATTTAGTTTTATCTTATTTTCTTCAAAAATAATTCTAAATCAATTAAAATCGGTATTTAATAAAAAGATGGTTAATGTTAGACCAACTTAAGAAACAGCCTTAGACTATTGAACATTGCACAGCTTTGCACTTTTAATTTTATGAACTATTTTTCTGCTTTTATTTTTCTGCTTTTCTGTGTCTATTATCACTTGCCCTACTTGGTAATGGTTGTTTTTTACTAACAGTAAAAAAAAAAAAAAACATTTCTAGATGTATGGTTTACTCTACCGATGTTTAGATGGTGATATGTTCAGTTATTCTGATGTAAAGCTCCATTGCATGGTTGCATTGTCTGTATGAAATGCAGGTGTTTAAAGGATAAAGAAGGTAAAGGTTTTTATTTTCGTTTTAATGTATGTTTAGAGCAACAAAATGCATTTAGCTTCTGATTTCTCACCGCCATTAAGTGAATGTTAACCTCTTGAAAATGTAAACACGTAAATATTACAATTGACTCTCCCAATATGGCGGAGATATTGACGTACGAGCTGGAACCTCGGGTTGTTCGAACGTTTGTTTTACGTAATGTGTAATTCTCCAATGAAATCCCAAGAACATTTGATTGACGGCTGTGACGGCCAATCAGATTCTACCTGTGATTTAAAGAATCGGTTGGACGGCACAGTTAGCTGCTAAAGCTAAACTTCATTTTTTTTTTACTTTATAAATCATCATAAATAGACATCAACCACTTAATATCTACAGGTAAGACACGTACCTTAACGCTACTTCATTTATGTTGCAGCAGCGCTAATTAGTTTGAAGAACAGCTCAGATGCAAAAGCATCCATGGAGGTTAGACTCCTAAACAGCTACACTCGTCGGTCCCCTTATTAAAGGGAAGTTCTGATCTAATACTGATCTCTGTCTAGTGGCCTGACTGGACCAGGATGGTTGACGACTTCGACGATCAGGAAGTTCAGTCTAGTAGAGAGCTGTGGTCCAAGATCTGCTCCAGTCTGCCGGAAGTCCAGGCTCTTGAAAGCACCCCGGACTTCACAGACTCATTCCATCCAGCAGCCCACCCTGAAGTCCAGGCCAGCGCACAAGTGAATGGGACCAACACCGGTTCTCCCAGCGCCCAGTGGGCACCCATGGACGACTCTGAGTCTTACTTAGCCAGTTTAGGTAATTTCTATGGCACACTTCAGCTAAAACAGCATTAAGACCTTACAAATACTAACAAGAACTCATGTGGAGGTTGAATTTAAAATAATGATTAAAAAGTAGAATTTATGTGCTGTTTAGACTGAAGCTTGTGTAAAGTAGTAGGGAAGTCATATTTAAATGTCAAATCATTCTGGCTTAAACATGTATATAAAGGGCAGATTATACTTCTGCAACCGCACACATCAAATGTCGCTTTGGTTGGGTCGCAAACCAGTTTTGCTGGTATGCTTCTGCACCGTTGGTCTGGAACTTCTAGGGACGCACAGCAGTTTCCCGCCAAAGCGCAAGGGGGAGCCTGTTCGAGAACTCGTGAGAACTTCGGCGGATGGTCACGAGAAATTCGGCGGCGCCGGCGGGAGTGAAACCTTTCGTCGTACTTGACCCTCGGTTTTTAAAAATGGCGCGCTCCGGCACAGAATCCAAAAGGACAACCACACAGACAGCCGCAAAGGCATACCAAGGACCAATCACAGCTGCTTTTTGTCTGCGCACTTCCGCTCGAGGTCTGCATAGATTTGCGACTGTCCGAAGTATAGTCAGGTTTTTTGAGGTGCACAATGATGGTTGCAGAACCTCTACGCGGGGGAGTGGTCGCATACAGAGACAGATTTGACGGTTGCAGAGGCTATGCGTCAGAAGCATAAATTGGCCTTAAATGTACTCATCAGACAATATTGTCCCAAAATTTAGGATATTTCTATTTAAAAAGAAATCCTGTCTTAAAATCTGTGGGGTTTTTTCATTATCCTATGCAGGCCAGTTGGTTATACATCAGCCTGAAAACCTAAATTCGACCGATCATATATCAACGGTCATCTGTCAATCAAATTTTTTTGGTCGTAGCATCTTGATTCATATGTCGCAGCTAATATACGCAACGGTTGACATAAGAATCTCACAGATTATTGGTGACCGTTACAAGTGTGTAGTTGGAGAGCGAATTGTTGGCCGTTTCTCAGTTCATAAGAACGGGATTATGGACTTGTTTCATCGCCAAGTATGTTCTTAAGAAGAACACAGAAAAGTATGGACTTGGGGAGAACGGGAGCACGCAGAATAAATCTGGGTCAATTGGAACAGAAGCATACTCGTGACATCACCACACCCTCGTTTAGTCAGGAGCTGCTTTTCACCTCCTGTTATTAATAGTCTAGATTGTAGGTCTTTAAGAGGGGTCCATGACACCTAGGGGGTCCACGGAGGTACTGCATGGGGGTCGCAAAAGTTTTGGTTTATTCAACTTTTTTTTATATTCCTCCCTGAAATTTTTTCATCTAATTGAAATGTCTTTAAATACGCATTATCACGAATTCAACATTCTGTAGTAAACAGATAAATGGAGCCAGAAGATGTCTTTCACTCATCAGCAGTACCTCTGTGGGCCCCCTAGGGGTCGCAGGCCCCCGCTCTATATGATTAATATGATGAAATGCTCTAAAAATTACTATTAAAGAACAGCAACAAAATAGAATACTACCAAAGCTTAGCCAGAAGATGCAAACGGCCCCCCATGTGGTCATTGAGAGCCCCTTGGTGCCACGGGCAGCGAGTTGGAGACCCCTGATTCATGGGAAATAAAAGACTGCAGAACCAGCAGGGATGTGAACACTTGTTGAGTTTAACGGGAGGAGTGTTCATATTTCTAACATGTTCAACTAAAGATATCTTATTCTATCAAACATGATGTTCAGATTTGTTACCTTAGAAACAAATACTTTAACATTTAATAGCAGCCTTTAAATTGAATAGAGCCTTCTTGGCAACATGAAGTAGGTAAAACTACTTGGAAAATTTAAATTTTTTCGTCCATATCTAAAGAAGTTAAAGAAAAAACAAATGCTGAATATTTTCTCCATTATTAGATCGTTATTTTCACTGATGTTCACTGGAGTCTCAAAGACTTGATTCAAGATGTAAAAACATACATTTTGTCTACATTTTCACACAGAAAACCGCCTGAAAAAGCTAAAGGGTCAGTCCAGCGATGTCACGTCCAGAGACATGCTGCGCTCGTTGTCTCAAGCTCGGAAAGAATTCTGGGATCGATTTCTGCATGATGCCCAGACCTCTGAGCTCTTCCAAAGTGATGACATGGATGAGAGGTAGGATATAGGAGTTTGGCATTATTCCACGTGTTTGAATCTCTGTATCTCCAGAATACCTCACTTTTTTGTTGAATGTTACAGTCAAGTGTTTTGAGAAAAACTCAATTTAAAAGTAATCCGGGTGGCTTACCTAGGAAGCTGTTGGCCTCACAGACAATGCCTTATAAAACATGAATGCCTCTGAAACTTTCCTCATCTAGTAACATTTTATTCTGTGCTTTGATTGGGCCATAGTCAGCACATGAGTAAGAATTGATCTAAACCTCCTGAGCATGAGCCAGTAGCTCAGACTGGATGTTCAGGGTTGTTCTCCTCCAGGGAGGTGAACCTCCTCTTAAGGTTAAGTCTTTTCCAGCCTTTTTATTTTTATTTAGCTCCATGAATCTCCTCATGCACTCGGACCATCTTCTCTGTCCATGCTGAAGACGAGCATCTCTATTCCATGATGCTGCCTCTGCCGTGTTGCACTGTGGAATCGGTATGTTCAGAGTGATAGTTGTCCTTCACATGCATTGGCTTGGATGTAGATGTTAAGGTCAGGTCAGGTCATATCTGTCCAGAGCACCTCCTTCTACAGGTTTGTCGTGCCTCACAAGGACTATAAGCCGCACCTGAATATAAGCCGCAGAAGCTAAATTGCATGATTTGTACATATAAACAAGCCGCACCGGACTATAAGCCGCAGGTTTTTTATGTTTAAGTCCGTCTTTCTTGCTGTCGTTCTGTCTCGTACCACTTGCGGTAGAAGTCTGCTTCCAGAGGACCTCCACATTCCCCCACGCATGGCTACCGTACTTGCGTGTTGAAGCAAATGTGACGTCAACATGGTGGATGGTAAAATCCATAGATTTAGGTATTACCCTAGTTGCCGTTAGCTGTAAAAGTCCATAGATAAACAGCATTGTTATATAAGCCGCAAGGTCGAAAAATGGGGAAAAAGTCACTGCTTATAGTCCGAAAATTACGGTATATCTAATCTCAAAATAATAATAATTTTTTTTATATTTAGGTTTTTAGCAATCTTTGTTTTTTCCAATTTTCCTGGAAGGCCAGATTAGTGATCGGTGCGATCGGTAGTTGTATTTCCCACCAGACCTGTGAATCACAGCAGCTCCTCAGTTACCATGGCTCTCCTGGCTGCTCATTTGATTTAATGTTCTCCTTGCGAGGCCTTTCAGTTTCCAAAGCATTTGATATTATTCTCCATAACTCTCTCTCTCTCTCTAACCTGTGCTGTGTTTCTTGCTCCTCATGACGCTAACAAACCTTTGAAGTAGTGATGTTATGAGATGAGCCGAGGCATGAGTCGAATACTGGAGGGGGCGTTTCCGTGAGGCGCGTATCGAGGCTTGCTTCATTTGGGGGAGGAGCCAAAATAGATGATGTCCGAAGCCTCACTAGCCACCATACCAGGTGACCGCTTCAGGAAGTGGTTCAGCTCGCCCAGAACATTTAAAGA